GCAGGTTCTGCGTAATGACAGAAAACAGCAGAGACTACTAAAGAACAAAAAGATGCTTGGCTATCATGTGACAACACACCCACTGATGAAGAGACCTCAATGCACAGGCTATTGAAATACAAAGAACACTGTACCAGTTCAGCTAAATTCAGACTTCCTGTCTTCTTCATTGCCTTTACATTTCAAGTAAAGACTTAGCTTCCCTGAGAAACTCTTTTCCCTAGAGGACCATGAACACCTCCGTGATATCCAGTCTTCACTGACAGCCCTTGTTCTCCCCTTCTTGGAGTTTCACAAACACGTCCTACACAATAGAACTGGTCACTGGGAGCTGTAATCCTCAGTATACCACATGGGTGTCTATCATTGAGCAAAAATGCCTTAAGAGCTCCATTACCTCACAGTCCCTTGGACTCTGTCCCACAACACATATTAAGTGTGCCTGTGCTACCAAGACACTTTAATGCTTGAGGACACTGAGAATTGTATCTGAAGGCTGCTATTAGCCAAATCTGGGACCATTTGAGTATCAAAATTAATATTACGAGTAACGCATAATAGCACACTGAGTAAAACAGAAATCCAAGAATCAAAGTCGATGAAGTAAAAAAATACATAGGAGAGAAAGCAAAGTCCCCCTCCCCACCCCCTGCATTCCTTCCTTCCACTGCAAACAGGAAAATTATTTTATAGTAGAAGACTCCATCTTAACGAAGTAATCAAAGTTAATATCAACAGTAACGGGACAAGTTGACATTATGTGCCTCCTGATGTGACGCACTGAAGAGGACACATGTCACCTCTGGGGTGCTTCTGGTAAAAGTGCAAAACTGGAACCTAATCAAACAAAAACATCAGACGCATCCAAATTCAGGAAGTGTCTACAAAGTAACTGTCCTGTGCCTTTCCACAGTGTCTGTTGCGAAAGACTTCATCCAAATTAAAGGAGACTAAAGAGACATGACAACTAAGTGTACACTGTGATCCTAAATTGGATATTAGATACAAAACAAGACTTAATTATTATTATTATTTTGCTAAAAATTCTATATATTGGATTAATTGGTGAAATTTGAATAAGGTCCACAGTTTAGTTCTATAGTAGTTAACTTCCTGATTTTGAAAATTATACTGTAGTTATGTAAGAGAGTATTCTTTGGGAATGCACACTGAAGTACTTAAAAGCAAAGGGGTATCATGCCTGTAACTTACTCTCAGTTCAGAAAAAAATATGTACAAATATATAAAGAGAAGAGAATGTTAAGCAAACGTGGCAAAACATTGGGGAATGTGGGTAACACAGATATAAGAGAGTTCTCTGTACCATTCTTGTAACTTTTCTGTAAGTCTGAAATTATTCCAAAATAAAATTTTATGGGAAAAAACTCTTATTAGATGGACAGCGCTGATTACTCTGCCCTGCAGGGTAATTTGGAGCAATAACACTGAGTTCAGAAGAGAAAAGGGGAACATGCACTGGGACTTTGCGCTCACCTTGTGCCTCTCTCACCTCCTCCAAGGGTTCAGATGCCACAGCTTCGTCTCATACGCTTCCCCACTGCCCTTATACATGACAACTACACGACAACTTCCTCTATTTCTCTAACTGAAAAAATGGGAAAATATCCTGTCAGGCTTCGAAAGGCTCAGCAATAAAAGACGAACACTTTAGAAAGGTACTATAATAGTATAAAGCACATAAAGAAACTAAATGTTTAAAACGCTAAAACCCATTATAAAGCAGACAGCCTCCTATACTTGCTCTCCAAGAGGTGACAATTCCCCTCGTGAAGATGGCAGGTAATCTGAATACATTATTTTCCAAAACTGCCTCCCAATCCCTCACGAGATCTCAACCCCAAACATTTAACAATGGACAATTACTATGATTACAGATAATAGATTATTTTTTATTTTAACACATAACTATTAAAACAGGCATTTGTGACTTTGGGGGGGTCACTTTGTTACTATCCTTAGTCTAAAGAGTCTGGTGTTTTGAACATATAGAGAATATACCGCCTTGGTTTTAGAAAAATTAGACTAGAGCCTAGAATCTATTCCTACTCCTACCCTCAATATCCTAGCCTTCTAAAGTCCTTTAATTATAGTGACTGTATTTCCACATTGGATTCTTTTTTAAGATATGCAAAATAAGATGTACAATTATAAAATATTAAAAAATGCACAATTATAAAATACTGTAATGAGACTAACAAATTTATTTTACCAAAAGCAAAGAGAATAGGTCACATTTCATTTGAAAAGACCGATGAGGCAATTTTAAACATACACAGTTCAATTAAACTGTGAAATACTGGGAGGAGGGGGAAGAAGGTATATAAACTTGTTAGATGTCACATCTCATCCTCAAAGAAGAAAAGGTACTAAAGACAACCCAATGTCTATGTTTCATTTGCACACGCCTAGAACTATTCACTACACTTAGAAGTCTAGGTGAGGGCAGTGGCAATGGCATGGCTGCATTCCAATCCCCACCCTCACCACAGTCCGAGTCTCATCACCGACCACATGCGGTCACTAAAGAGGTGCATTAACCAGGTGCCTTTGGGTAGGGCCTGGAGAAAGACTTTTAAAGTCACTTGTACTTCACCATTCAAAGAGAAGTGTTTAAAAAATACCTTAAGCACATCTTGCTCTGCAGCCGCAGGCTGATACAATCTGAGACTGGTGTTCATCTCTAGAGTTCACAGTAGTATGTGGATTCTGAGGGCACCAAAGCCTACTGCCTCCTCACTTTGGTAGGATCCACCTACATCACATCTAGTCCTGAGGGCATCTACAAGTCCCCTTCAGAAACAGACACAGTATGAGGATCAGTCTATCACCTATGCTCATCTTGAGTGTCTACACCCATCAGAAATGCTCTTGCCCTGCTGGGTTCTGGAATCAGGGCATAATGTATTTAGCCAACCCTCTTAAAAGGAACCATTTCCTCCTCCCTCCACATCAGGACCAACATCTTGAATATACTGCATCTGTTTCTGATCAGTTCCTCCTACATGGTCATATCAACACCCCTTTGAGTAAACCAAGGCAGGGAATTTGCAGGAAGAGTAACTTTAGTGGTAAATTATTACACCAACCAACCTTCAAAATAATTACCATTTCAGATCTAGGTTGAGAAGGAATTTATGTTCTGTGGACTAGTCCATGTCAGGTGTGAGATGCCAGGCATTCTGCCAGCTAAAAACACGATAAGAAGTTTCTAAGTCCATTGACTCATTTAATGACAGAACCATGACTATAAGCACACTTCCCATCAAACACACAAATACACACCCCACAGGAAGCTATGAAGAAGATCTTTTGGATGTTATCATGAAGTCCCTGATTTCCTTAGGGAGATTCTGTAGTGAAGTAATGAAAGACTACCCTGTAATGAGAAAAATGTCCCCTACGTGTGTTTAGAAGAGGGCTAAAGGCCTTGCATATAGACAGGAATATAAGAATGATTCAAAACAATTAACAGGTAACATCCATTTACTAAGCCATAACTAGCTAAAGAAAGAGACTAATATTTAAAGCAGAAGAGAAATCTTGAGATGCTCTGAGCATGACCTCCCAAGGGGGAAAAAAAAGATTTTTTAAAAAAACTTTAAAGATGTACAGAGGTACAATTGTGAAATTCTCAAAGAATAATGTTCAGAAAAAAGCCAGAAGAGAAGTTACTAAAACAGAATGTTATTAACAATTATAACATTTTCTACAAAATAAGACTCTCTTTGTCTTCCTTTTGGATAAATCAACAGAAATATATTCAAACAAGGTTGTTTCAAAAGAAAGTAAAAAATACATTATATCACACATCTGTTAGTGTAGCCCTTACAGAAAGAAGTCACACATGCTCACAATGGTTCCAACTCCCAGAGTGAAAGCCTACAATTTTTTAAATGTCTTCCATGTTAAAAAGGTATCCAAATGGTAATACACATTGCCAGGCCATTAATTAGCAGCCTCGTAACACATCTTAATAAATAAATGTCCAACAACAACAATGGGGCTGGAAAGGGCAACAGTTCTCTTGTTCTCACTTGAGCCACCTGGTATACTGCAGGAGAGCCTTTCAGATTACTGTTGACATTGTTCCCTTTCGCTGAGGATGGAATTTTAACTTTGACCTCACCACCAAAAAAAAGAAAAAAAACCACTCAAACCCACTGCCACTGTGTCAATTTCTTACTCATGACAACCCTATAGGACAGCATAGAATTGCCCCATAGAGGTTCTAAGGCTGTAAATCTTTTTATTATTATTATTTTATTTTTTATTGTGATTTGGGTGAAGATTTACTGAGGCTGTAAATCTTTACGGAAGCAGATTGTTTCATTTTTCTCCTACGGAGTGAGCGGCTGGTGGGTTTGAACTGCTGGCCTTTTGATTAGCAGCCAAATGCCTTAACCACTGTACCACCAGAGCTCCATAAACCACCTAAAGGGAGTGCAAAAAATATCCTGTATGTTTTGAAAACTGTATTAATAATATTTATGCAGAAATATTTCAAAACACACAATAATCCGTTTTTTTTTTTTGCACTGACGTAAGGTGTGTTTTCATAAAATTCCTTTGTCAACTTATACTGTATTTTATTTATCATTATTGAAATTCAGCCATAAAGCAAATGGAAAATAAGAAAGGAAAAACAATGGAAGGTCACGTGTAGGTATAAGTTTTCATTTCCAGAAATTAAAAAAATAAAACCAATTCTGACTCATAGCTATCCTATAGGACAGAGTAGAACTGCTCCACAGGGTTTCCAAGGTTATAAATCCTACCAGCAACAGACTGCCATTATCTTTCTCCCGTGGCGCGGCTAGTGTGTTTGAATCACTGATGTTTTGGTTAGCAGCCAAGTGCTTTACCCACAGTGCCACCAGGGTTCCTTGTACTTATTATTAGTCAACATTTTTTTTTTTTTTAAACCATGGCAAGGGGAGAAGGATGTGAGGAGAAAAGGGGGTAAAAGAAAATAGCATTACCCTCCTTGTGTAATAGGCATTAAACTCGTCTCCAATACGCCGCAACTCTTGTGCAATCCATATTTCCGGGCGCATATCTGCAGGTACAGCCTGAGACTGCCTCATGGAAGCTGCATCAGAACAAACAAAACAGAAATCACATTGCTTTCCACAGATCATTCAGAATGTTCCAAAGCCCATCTTCCATTTTTGGAAGCTCTGTAATTCACAACAACATATTAAATGTTTATCTGGCAAGTCTGTTACATAACTTTGATAAAAGAATAAGGATACAGAGTAATTTCCTTTTTCAAAAGTAGAGATTCAGAATTACAAAAATTAAATCACAATTAATTACACACTGTCATTTCAAGAAGATAAACAGCCACAAAGGCAGTATAATAAATACCATAAAAAAAATACACTTGAAACGTATTAGAACATGGAAATACAGTATGTTAGTAAAATAATACTTTTCATCTTAATGCAAGGTAAAATTCCTAGGAAAATTACAAACATCACATAGGAATATGAGAAGAAATGGTTGTCCTATTCAAAGCAAAATCTTGAGAAACTAGAACAAGCTAGCTGAATGAGATCAATGGAAGTAGGTACTGTGATACAGCCAGTAAGTCTTCAGGAGTGCTGTCACAGGGCTAAATGAAAGTGCATATTTTGTTTCAATAGTAATGGAGCCAATAACGATGGATTCAAGACTATAAACACCACATGGGTAGAAAAAAATGTACTGGGTGTAGAAGCGGAGCCATTTCTGAAAGGAAAAGAAAAAGGGAGGTTTGCCCTTTCATTAAGCTGTCAGGAACATTCACACCGGGTGCATTTATCCATTTGTTAATGAAGCCAGTAACAGTCATGGGACAGCCAAAAATGAAGGTGAACAAAATTATGAGCTATCAAAAGACTCCACCTTCCTATTACATTGTTGTTGTTGTTGATGTTGTTGTATGTGCTGTTGAGTCGGACCCGACTCATAGCGACCCCTCCTTGTGTTTCCGAGGCAGTATCGCTATGGAAGTAGATTGCCCCATCTTCCTTCCGGGGAGTGACTGGTGAGTTTGAACCGCCAGCCTTCTGGTTAGCAGTCAAGTGCCTTAGGCATTACACTATCAGAGCTCCTTCCTATTATATTAGGAAGATAATATTCTCCACTCACCAAAATGAAAAGCATCACATGCAGAGGAAAACAGTTGAACAAAACGTATCCACAAAATATTCTTAGATTTCAACTGCTATTCACATGTAACTTATGTCAACTTATTGTTAAGATTGTAGTCATGATTAAACACGAGTGTTATGTTTTAACCAAAGCAAAATATTTTAAAAATCTATGATCACTGAGTTTCATCTATGGGTGGATAGACAGGTGGACAGCTCTGGTAGCATAGTGCCTAAGGCACTTGACTGCTAACCAGAAGGCTGGAGGTTCGAATCCATCAGCCACTCCTCGGAAGGAAGGTTGGACAATCTACTTCCGTAGTGATACTGCCTCAGAAACCCAAGGAGGGGTCACCATGAGTCGGATTCGACTCAACTGCACATAACAATAACAACATCATGCAGGGCTGAGTGTGCCCATCATACAGGGTTGGAAGACAATGTTTTACAAGTGTATCTGTATGTTCTGTAAGAATTCCCAGGTATATAGAAGAGCTGACAAGGGACAAGGTTGTAGCCACTTTTTAGCCACAGCCAGCTACCCAGAAGGAGCTAGTAGTTGGACTTGTGGGCTTGGGACCATAGTCAAAGCAGACATCAAGCTCAATTGGCATAACATTCTACACAAAAACATTGTTTCACATCCTGCTTTGGTGAATAGCAACTGGGATCTTAAAAGCTTGTAAGTGGCATCTAGATGCAACAATGGGTCTCTCCTTGCCAGAGCAAAGAAGAATGAAGAAAACCAAACACACATGGAAACAATTAGTCCAAGTAACTGGTATTCCATGTGATCCTCAGCCTATAAGACTATGAGACCAGAAGAACTAGATGGTGCCTGGCTACAACTGTCAACCACTCAGAGGGGAATCTATGTAGGAGATCCTGGATAGAGTGGGAGAACAATGTGGAACAAAGCTCAAAATCATTAGGAAAAAAAAAGGGGGAAGGCAGTTTGCTGGTCTGACAGAGCCTTGTGGAACCCACTGAGACTATGGTCCCTAGTTGCCATTCAGGTCTGGAATCAAACCCACTCCCTGTGGCTTCCAGTCAAACGAAAGACAGGCATATGAGCTGAACATTCACATTAGGTAGATACACTCCTTGGAGAGATCGATCATGGGTGAACAGAAGGGCTGTGTATGCACAGGGAGACAGGTCTGGGGGCAGGAGTGAATGGGAGGGAAGGACACAGGGAAGAGGTACTTATGTAGATAAAGTGGGAGGGAAGATGTTGCATTGTGGGAAATTTCAGTCAATGTCATGAGACAAAGTGTATGTGAGCTGCTGTATGGAAGTGAATTTGCTCTGTAAATTTTCACAATAAAAATTAAAAGAAAACCAAACCTATGATCACTGAGTTTCATAGTAACACTAATACAGTTTTCTGTTTTGTATTTCTGCAAAAGGTCAATAAAACTGATGTTGACTTATAACTCTCTAAGAGCACTTAGAAGTGAACTTTTTGAAGAGTATTTTCTATAGTTCTTCTCAAGACTCCTCCATCTTCTCTGTCCTTGAATCTCCATACAAGTGAATTTAACAATGATCCCAGAAAGACATGAGTACCTGGGAGAGGCAAGGTATCCTATATGCCATGTGTGTATGTAAATCCTTAAGTCCTCTCCAGAATTATCTGTACTCTATGAATAAGCCAGAGGAAAAAAACTGCTAATGGAGCTCTGGTAGCTCAAACCCATCAGCCACTCCTCGGAAGGAAGGTTGGGCAATCTACTTCCGTAGTGATACTGCCTTGGAAACCCAAGGAGGGGTTGCTATGAGTTGGGTCCGACTCGATGGCACATAACAACAACAACAAAGGAAGCCCTGAGGAAGACCAGAAAGGTTAATGGTGGGGGAAAACTTTAGGGTAAGTCAGACATATTCCCTATATATACATCTAGCCACATTAAAAAAAAAAAAAAAAAAAAAAATCACATTGGCTAACTCTTGGCTAACCCTTGTCTTAAAATTTCTAATGTTAATCCCATGAAATTAAATTTTAATTGACTAAGCTGGCATCAAAGAATTTCAGTGTAGATGTGATAACATGTGATAATGCGATTGGTCACTTCCTTTTCCTGTGCTTACAGCCCTGAAGGAGTATTTACTACAGCACAAATACTAAATCGGTTCTATTCTTTTTATCCTATCAGCAATCAGGTATTCCCATGTTAGAAACTTTTTAAAAGCTAACTTGCTGTTAAGGAAAAAGAAATATCTTTTCTTTGAGGATCTACTATGTGTTAGGGCCTGCAGCATGCTTGCAGGTATGGTCTCATGTAATCCTCCTGAAAGCCAGAAGAGGAAACCTGCCTGCCCACAAACACAGGTGAACAAGGCAGCCAGCAGGACATCACATGGCCATTTAACCAGCCACCGTCATCCACCTTGACTGGGTTTCACAGCCCTGCTTATTCCTCACTAGACATGCCTGTGCTTGAGAGAATAATTTACCTTTAATCATAAAAAGTCAGAAATGAAGAAAAACTATCAAAATAAAAACAGTGAAATATGGACTATGTGTTTTACAAAGAAAGGAGATTGGTGAAAACTGTTACATGATGTTTGAGAAACTAAGATATTCACTAATCTACTCAACAAATATGAATGCTCATATGTCAGATGTGGTTCTAAGAAGTGTTCCTGTGTACTGCAGCAAAAGTGGCTAAGCCCTGGCTTCATGTAGCTTCATTCTTATGGATTACATATTTAATTTCAACTAGATATTAAGTTTTTCCAGGATAAACCTACTTTTAAGTATACTGTATACTTCTCATAATATAACATAAAATAACTCCACAACCTCTAGGTGAATCCTACTGAATTCTATTTAACATTTTTACTTAGATGAGTGGTTTCAAAGTTCTGCCCAGTTCATGTATGAGCTAGCAACCAGAAGCACGAAGAAAGGAACCAGTTTGTGTCAGTTTAGCAAGGAGAGCACCTAGTCAATGTGTCAGCCTAGCCAGCAGCTAAGAAAAAAATACGGAACCTCGTCGGCCAAATTCAATGTGGTCATCTTATAGGTAAGGACCATGATGTTTTTTGGGATAAAGGGTAAAGGCAAGAAGATGGCCTGTTTCTTCTATTACAAAAAAAAAAAAAAAAAAAGATAATTCAGTTGCTATTAGCTTAAAGAAAGACACTGATGTACACTTATCCATGAGTCCTTAAGACCTCAGTGGAGTAAGAGACTGAAGGGTGGGTGGTGTCCATGGAGGGCCAGGATGCTGTACTGTTAATAAGCACCCTAAATGATTCTGACACAGTTACAGACCATATCCTGGGAAATACTGAGCAAAGGGTAAGACACCATGGAGGAGATGCCCCGATGCCCAGAGGTGTGTCTTCAGGTAACATTTAAGAGTTAGGAGAGATATTAACCAAAGATAATGAATTATACCAGGTTCAGGATTCATTGTAACTGGCAACAGTTACAGGTTAGTAAGAGACCCATCAACTGTACCTATGTGTATTTTTCACAGTTGTTATAAAACTGTAATGTACAATAAAAATTAAACTCTGCAAAGGAGACTGATCTGTCTAGACTACTCTAACATCACACCTATACTCATTTGGTTTTTAAAACAAGAATAGTTTTGGTTTTTTTGAGAGGCAAAACACAGTTCTTGATCCTTGAATCTATAAACCTAAAATTAATGGCCAGCATTCATTCTGCATAAACAACTAGCAAATATTTACACAGAATATTTAGTTGTTCAAATTATAAAATTAAAATTCTATTTTGAATATATTAAAAAGCATTCTATTCCTGTATTTTCAAAAGGTAGCTTTAATCTGCTACTAGAGTGCATTTTTCAATATAAACTTCAAAGATGATTTTTCAAGTGATATAATTTCTTCTTTAGAGGCAAGGGCTATTCAGTAACTTCATCACTACCTTAATGTTAGTGACTGTCTCATTTGGTCTCACGCCACATGAGAACCTAAT